AGGGAACATCTTTTCCGAATTGGTGAAAATAAGGTTAATAATTGTTTATAACGATGTTAAACTTTTTGTATTTCATTTCTTGAGGTGCAAAAGTGCGTTTTTGGGAGTTGAAATTATCAAAAAACTCTTTGAAAAAATTTTGGAGAAGTCAGAATTTTGAAGGAAACTAGCAAACTGAGATGTAGGGATCAGTTTATGTAATTGTGAGTGTTCAGGCGCATCGGTTCGATGGAAATACGATAACAACAAAAAAGCCGCAAGCAATTTGCGAGGATGCGATTAGGGCGGAGCTCCTTGATAGTATCCCATCGGACATTGCTTATCAACTTAAGGTGAATTCTTTCATCAAGTTTGATGATAACGAGTCGAAGAGATTGAGTCACCGGAAGAACTGATTCAAGTTTCGAATTGAGAGTGGCAATTTTCAAGTGGATAGTTTCAGATCAAAGTGATCGAATGGCAGGTGGAAGGTGATGTGCTGCAAATAGTGGCTGAAGTGAATTGTGAGAAAGAACGATGGGCTCATTACATCCTCGGCAAAGACAACAATAAAATCATCAAAATTGGCAAAGCTGTCAATGTTCTAATGCAAAATCTCTTCAAGCAACAATTGTTCGTGCGAATTCTCGTCAAAGCGAACGGTAAAATTGTTGAAAAAGCGAAATTACTTCGATGATTAATGACGAATAAATTAGTACTGACTGTAACGATGTAAATGTGATGTCCGTTGACTGTGAAGAGCCAATTGAGTTTGATAGTTGTCATTGTTGGTTATTTCATATCATGATATCATTGAATTTGTTAAGTTTGAAAATCCATTTGAACGATATTCAAATAATTTGTGTACATTGTATTGTGATGCAAATTTCGCGAATTTGAGGATTTTATTTTTATTCTTTGCATACACAGCATAAGCTCAATTAAGCAATCAATAAAATTAATGAAGTGANGTATTACATCTGAAACAATGAGTGTTTGAATGAGTTATCAGGCGATTAGATGATTTTAGATGAGTAACTGTCTTCTTCATTTTTGCGAAACTATATACCAAAATCTCAAATAGACGGTATAGTGCGTATCTGAAAGCAATATGTTCATTTCTACGACAGCTCGGATCACATCAGCTGATTGTAGCCCTTCGTGAAGTTTATCGACACTCATCGTTTCCTAATTCTATTCCCAATGGAGGAAAATATAACTGATAAGAAATCAACTGACAGAAAATGATTAAACGAAACAGCTTTTCCTTGTCATCAGACAGTTGTTCAGATTCAAATGCCTCAAGAAATGATCGACCAACGCAGATCAACATTTTACATCAGCAGATGAAAGAATCGATGAAAAAGCAAATATTAGCAGAGTTATCAGTTGTCAAACAGACATCAATAGTTTGAGTTCGGTTCAGTAACTCAGTATGCTAAACGAAACGCGTAAACTTGAAATTATGTCCAATCGATTATCATTTTAGTCTTCTCGACATATTCACCATGGTACCATCAAATGTGAATGTCACGATAAGAGCATGGCAGTTGGACGTGTGCGTGTCATGAACTCTTAGGGTCCTTATAAAATAATAACGGAAACATTCCAATCAAACATCCAATAACAAGTCCGAATGTGCGACTTAAATTGATCACTTTCCTGGCCATCGATGAATGCAGCTGAAACCAACAACAAAAACACTGAAATTATCTTCTGCGATCGGTCAGCTTTCAACGCATTCGAAAGTCATTTTAGCAAGAAACGATTCACTAGAGCTAACAGCCTGTTCAGGCATTCTTTGATGATGTCAACAAAAACACACATGATGAATGATCGATATGAGCACCATTCATCTAGCTTGGGAGGTTTCTGATCAAAAAGTGCCATTCGATCACGTGACGAACAAGTGTTAATACTTAAGGAACATGACATGATGAGTTGTTTTTTGAATGTTTTTTTAACATCTTGCACCGTTTATCTACTCATCGTTTCGTTGATTTTCAGTCAAAAATTTCGGTTTTCAGGGAACTTCAATAGTGCCGAAATGTTCGTGAACACAAATCCTGAATGAATAATGAAGCATACAACAGTGCTCTTCAATATTACCATTTAACGAAAGATAAAACTCTTGACAATTCGGACTTAAACTGTCCGGGTCGAACAGTTCTTTCAACCACTTCATTCACTGTCCCTTAACTCTGACTTACCCACCGTAACGTAAATTCTTATAAGCATTCACGAACCTGTTCTGCCGTAAGAACCGGTCGCTTGACGCCTAGTTTAGAGACGATATATTCCACATAATGTGTTAATCCGATCCCGGCCAAATCTGCTACAATATGCCCTAAGCCAGCGGCAGCCATCGTTGAAACGGCAAGAACCATACCTAATGACTTCAACAGACCTTTTTTGAATTCTAATTCAAAACTGATTTCGAAACAAGTTATTTCGGGAAATGAATGCGACAAACTGCATGATATTTGATTCGAAAGAATTTGAAATGAAAGTTATCTTTCATTCAAAAATCTAACATCATTATAACATACGAGGCAAAAGTATCTGCTTGATTAGCCTAGCTGAATGCAGCTAGTTGATCCTACATCTAGCATGGACAATCCGTTCAGATCTCTTAACTAGGACTGATTCAAGAACATAAGCTTATCATTCAGCTTCATTGATTAAAGATGAAAAGTTTTATGTTGCTTTCAATAAATTTAATGGCAGAAATGACACTTCAAATTATATGATCGTCTAAGTGAATAAGCACTTACATGTTCAATATACTCAGCCGCAACGATCATTAAGAAATTATCCAAGAAACCGAAACCAATAAACGGTAACGTATTGACAATGAAAAGCTGTTTGCTCTGTTCACGGCTCAACTGAACTGAAATAATTTCAACAGCAGATACATGATCATTGAAATTTATCCATTGATAACTGCACAATGCGTTAATTTTTAACAAGTTCAAAAATTCATTCTGCCTTACTTTAGCGAACATGGCATCAAATTTCTGAAGCACAAAGCTGGGGACAAATGAAGAAATTTTGAGATCAATCTTCTGTACTCACAAACAATCCTTCGAAATGATCATTAGTGAAGAGACATGTTAGCAGTGTTTGATGAAGGAATTGTCTAGGAATAATTCGAATTGAAAATTACGAGCGCTTGATTTGAACAATATTACAAAATTGATGTGACCTTCAGCTTTACTCTTGAAATTAATTTCAATTCCGCAAATGACGAACACTCTCAGAAACGTACCATTTAGGGTGTTACGAAGGTTGATTTGTGTGCAAGAATGACTGCTATCCATCAGAGCATTTTGCAGCCGTATTCGTTCATCCGGCGATAGATTTGCGATAACAGCTCTCGCTGCGCGCATATCCTTGACGCAAACTGCGCTCGGTACCCGTCGATTCATCACATGTAGTGTTGATGAGATTTCGGCTTTTGTACTCACTTAAATGTGTTCTATTGGATTTTAGTTGCACACAGTCACAAAACTGGGTCGATTATCCTGCTCACATGTCAAATATGTGACAGCTTAAAGAGGACCGTTTACAATCGTTTAAAGCATCTTCTCTCTTTTCAGAAACCGTGGCTATTGAAGATTCATTAGAAATTGACTTGAGGGAGTACAAAGAACCACTTTCGGCAACATTTCACACTTCGATAAATGATCAAGCACAGATTCAGATATTTACCCGTAAAGAATCGAGGATGTCGGATGATGCATTGTTGTATTTGATATGACCAATTAGAAATGCTCTTTAAATTCGCCGC